TTTATTTTTGGGACAGAGAGAGACAGAGCATGAACGGGGGAGGGGCAGAGAGAGAGGGAGACATAGAATCAGAAACAGGCTCCAGGCTCTGAGCCATCAGCCCAGAGCCCGACGCGGGGCTCGAACTCACTGACCGCGAGATCGTGACCTGGCTGAAGTCGGACGCTTAACCGACTGCACCACCCAGGCGCCCCAGTTTATTCTCTTTTCTTAAGAGTCTCTTGTGGCTTATGATTTGCCTCCCTTTCCTTCTTTTTCTTTGCCTTATGTTCATCTGTTTTGTGTCTTAAGTTCCCCATATGAATGAAATCGTATGGTATTTGCCTTTCTCTGACTGCTAGAGGGTATTATGCTAAGCAAAATAAATCAGTTAGTGGTAACTATACACATAAGCTGTAAAAGGAATAGACAGACATTGGTAATCTAAAATAATAAAATAAAATACACATATATGAATTTTGACATATTATGTATCATTTAAGTCCAATTCCAACAAAGTTTTAAGCTAGCTGTTCCCCCTACATTTGGAGATTACCGAATGGTTTAAAATATTCGGTGAACCACTGTGTGGTTCCTAAATGAGTACTTACATTTTTCTGTGGCTGTGATACTTAGGTTGTACCAAGCACTAATCTCTCGATCAAGAGCATTGGTTGTGATTATTGTGCCATTGTCATCAATATTGAACATTTTGCTTCTCGTCATAGAATACCTGCAACAACAACAACAAAAAAGTATTCCTTAATTTTATTATTTTGTCTATGGAACTGTGATATTTAAACTATTTTAAGGCAATAAGACAAATTAAATGCATGCTCCATATAGCTAAATGACATAATGCCAAACGGTGTTTAGAAAGGTACATGAATATAGTTAAGATTTAACTCAGTGAGGAAAAAAGAAAAAAAAAAAAAAACTAAAATATTCTCAGGTTCGAACCTATGTACGCTAAATCTAAACACATGTAATTCATTCTTATTCCCAAAAGACAACTTTAATATGTGAATGACTTAGTTAAACATAAATGATAAAGGGGGGCGCCTGGGTGGTTCAGTTGGTTTAAGCATTGGACTCGTGATTTCTGCTCAGGTCATGATCTCACAGTTCATGGGTTCAAGACCAGCACCAAGCTCGGTGTCCGGATTTATGCTGACAGTGCATAGCCTGCTCGGGATTCTCTCTTTCTCTCTCTTTCTTTCTCTCTCTTTCTCTGTCCCTCCCCTGTTCTTTCTCCCTACCAATATAAATAAATAAACATAAAAGTAAATAAATAAATGGGAAAATGTCATTTGCAAAATTAACAAATCCAAATAAATGGGTAAAGATGAATGCTTGCCAACCTTTGTTTTTTCCCTCGAAGCCACGTAAAGCATATCCTCCCCTAGGCTGCTCTGAGTCTCTTTCCTACACCATATAGTGGCTTGCTAAATCTGCGTGTCATATTTTAATTACTTGATTGCTGACATACGAGAAATGTTTGGTTTTGTTTGTTTAAAGGAAACACTCTGATACTTTTTAAAAAATTATATATATATGTGTATATATACATATACATGTATACACATATATATGCATATATTTATACACACTTATAAAGTAATGATAATAGATGGAATATGCTGTTGTCAGAGCATGCATGGAAAGAAGCCAGATGATAAAATTCCCTCATGCAAAGCCTGGAAAATGATCTCAAACTCCACAATGAAAGAAGCCTTTGAAGTACTCAGCATGTCTTATCTGCTTGCAAATGATTAATAATAAAAATTAAAGAAGAGTAATAACTTGGGTTCAGTGATGACTTCTCATTGCATGTATATTTCTGAAGACTTTGATGAGACATCAGTAAGTTTTTCCATAATTATGTGGCAAGAGATGAGAATATTTTAATCTCGAATTGACAGGTCTCTAAAAATATCACACTGATTTGTAGACTAGTGTTCAGGGGAGAATTAAAATAGAAATTACAGAGAATTAAGCTTTAGAGGAATTTGGTTTTAACTCTATTCATTTTTAAACCTTCAATAAGCAATTTACTTACATATCCCCAAATGGTCACGTTTCCTCCTTAAGAGATTTGCTGACAAAAAGCAACCGTATGGGGCGCTTGGGTGGCCCAGTCGGTTCAGTGTCCGACTTCAGCTCAGGTCATGATCTCACAGCTTGTGAGTTTAAGCCCCGCGTCGGGTTCTGTGCTGACAGCTTGGAGCCTGCTTTGGATTCTGTGTCTCCCTCTCTCTCTGCCCCTAACCCACTCTCATTCTATCTCTGTCTCTCTCAAAAATAAACAAACATTAAAAAAAAAGCAACCGTAGTTTAACAGTTAATATTTTGTATTAATCATCTAGAATATCCTGTTTCTATAATAATGCATTCCAAATAAAACCGATTAAATGTTTGAAATAAAATTTTCAAATAAAAGTTTTTAAAAATGATGACCTTGAGTCATCAGTAACATTTTAAATAATAGCCAATACATACCATTCAGGAAAGGAAAGATGTGTGCAAGGGATTTTAGAAAGAGCTGGAGCTAAAAAAGCTTAAAATGTGAAGTTTTGATGTGTAAAAGATCAATCTTTGGTTCATTTCAGAATTCCTTTTTATGGAACTCTTTATTCCTACAAAAGTGCTGAATGAATAAAATGTCACTGCATGAGTTTGCCATTGCTAACAGCTCTTGCCTAAATGGAATAAACAAATGGCCTGTTCCATGCATACTTCTGCAGATGCCTGTGTCTCTCGTCCTTAATCCTCACGTGCCTCTACAGAAGTACTATCCCCACGTCACAGACAAAGCAACTGAGACACATAATAGCCAACCCCATACACAAAAGTCAGAGTTTTCCAACCAGGCTACAGCTCCCCTGGGTGTTTCAAGGATTAAGGGCTTCCATTAGTGCACAGCTGAAACGTGAAAGACAGTCCCCTTCCACAGGAGAACACCCCTGACACTTGGATACCCCCAAAGCTCTTCCTGTTTCTCCCTGTTTTTCACATACATAACTTCTCAGATTGTTTTTCCTCTTTACTTGAATTTCGGTAGCTTCCTTGGAGGGATTTCAAGGAATGGGTCTGAATTCAGGGGCTTGGAGTCGTTCAGAGTATTTCCCTATAGTATCTTTCAATGTTTATGGGAACAATAGTTATGTTCCCTCTTTCATTTCTGATCATGGTAACTTTTGTCCATTCTTTCTTTTTTCCCACTTGGTTGGCTTGCTAAAGACTGATCAATTGTATTGGTGCTTTGAAAGAATCAGTTTCTAGGGGAGCCTGGGTGGCTCGGTTGGTAAAGCCTCTCACTTGAGCTCAGGTCATGATCTCTGGGTCCATGAATTCAAGCCCTGCATTGGGTTCTGTGCCGACAGCGCAGAGCCTGGAACCTGCTTCAGATTCTATGTCTCCCTCTCTCTCTGCCCCTTCCCCACTCAGGCTCTGTCTCTCTTTGCCCCTCAAAAACGAATAAATGTTAATAAAAAAAAACCAAACATTTGAAAGAATCAGTTTTTGGTTTCCTTGCATTTCTCTATTGTTTTTAAAGTCATTGCTTCTGCTGTGTTTTATTTCCTTCCTCACCACCACTGCTCCCCTCTGACCCCCGCTTGCTTTGGGTTGAACCTGCTTTTGTTTTTCTATCAGAAAAGAATATACTGTCATTGTGATATTGATAAAATCTTTCAAATTTTGACCATGGGTTCAGTTAAAAGGAAACTTCAATAATGTCCAAAGAATGAGTCATACACAGAAGTGGCAAAAGGGTACATTCCCTATATCTGGACCCTAAACAATACGGTAATACGTAGTCTTAGGGATAAAAATGAAAATCCTAAGGGAAATTCCTTATGAAGTTCTTCATTAATTTTGGGGTGGAAATGTTATCACAGACAACTTCTGGACTCTAATTCCTAGCACACAAGGCCCCTTAAAACAACCGCATCACCCGCCTTGCAGGTCTAATTTTTACATCCTTTCTTCATATGTGCACCCTGGTTTTTCTTAAACATTTACCACATAACTTATTATCGTAATTTATATCAAGGCACATTTTCACAAGCTTTTCTGTCCTTAATAATGACAACCTGGCAAGAACAATTTGTTAAGCCAGTTATCTCACCCAATACTTGTTGAAACTGGGCCTGGGAATCTCCACCCTTCAGAGAAATAGCAGGTAATTCCTACATGGAAGGAAAAACTAAGTAATACGAGTTATTAGAATTATGTATAATTTAATCTGTTTACTATGTGTTAATTTCTTTCCTCCAAACAATGGAACACTGCTGAGGGTAAAATAGAATGCCCTATCATTTCCTTTGGTGTCCATATGGCTTGCCATGGAAAGAGTATTAAGGAAGATGTACCCCATTAAAACTCAAATTGAAATCACTTAGAATTTGATTTCAAACATTTTTTGGACATTGTGCTTCCAAAGGAAGAAAGAAAGAAAGAAAAGGATGAGTACCAACTGAAATGTGTTCAAGGGGCTATTGTCATCCTAACAAACATATGAAAAGCAGTCTTATTTAAAAGGTACCTCTAAATGAAAGAATATCCATTAGAGACATTAAATGATAGTCCTTTTGGGTGCCTGGCTAGCTCAGTCAATTAAGTATCTGACTCTTGATTTTGGAGCAGGTCATGATCTCAGTTTGTGAGATCGAGTTTTATGTTTATGCTATCAATGCAGAGCCTGCTTGCGATTCTCTCTCTCTCCCTCCCTCCCTCCCTCTGTCTCTCTCTCTTTCTGCCCCTCTCCCACATGCAATGTTTTTAGCTATGTTCATAAGCATCACTGTCAAGCATTCATCACCCATTGCGTTAATTATACCATTACAGGGGCGCCTGGGTGGCGCAGTCGGTTAAGCGTCCGACTTCAGCCAGGTCACGATCTCGCGGTCCGTGAGTTCGAGCCCCGCGTCAGGCTCTGGGCTGATGGCTCGGAGCCTGGAGCCTGTTTCCGATTCTGTGTCTCCCTCTCTCTCTGCCCCTCCCCCGTTCATGCTCTGTCTCTCTCTGTCCCAAAAATAAATAAAAACGTTGAAAAAAAAATTAAAAAAAAAAAAAAATTATACCATTACAATTAGATCATTGTTTCCAACACTTTATTATTATAAATTATGATATATAAATATCTTGATCCTTAAAGCATTTTCTAGAGTTATGTATTCTTCAGTATTCTCAAAAGAACAATATGTAGGTGAATAGATATATTACTTCTAAAAACATCTACATTCCTTTACTGGGTATAACTGTATACACATATAAGTAACACCACATATATACTTACATTTATAACTCAAACTACTATTACTAAATAAGAACTATGTCGACATATTAGAAGGCAGTGTTAGGGATTACAGTGGAAAAGTGGGACCATTCCTCTTTCTCAAGAAGTTTCTTCTTTGTATCATAGCCCCTGCAAAGCAGTAACCAGCATCTACTAAGTACATGGACGTTTGTATAATTCTCTGAACTGTGAAGAGTTGAAAGCAGATGAGTAAGGGAAGGTGGTGGAAGGAAACATGTAACAGGTTTTGTTGTTGTTGTTGTTGTTGTTTTGTCTAACGAGGCTTACAGCACAAATACTGGGGAAAAATATGAAGGTATAGTACCTGAAAATAGACTAGTTTAATAGATGGCAAATACTGTTTAATATTTATTTCTAACTGATTGGACTGATTTCATTTTTACTACTTTAAGTGGTATCCTGTGAAGGCCTTCTCAATTTCGGAAAATAAATTAAATAATATTTTTTTTTATTTTTTTATAAGTTTATTTATTTATTTTCAGAGGGAGAGAGAATCCCAAGCAGTCTCCATGCTGTCGGCACAGAACCTGACACGGGGCTAGATCTCACGAACCGTGAGATCATGACCTGAGCAGAGATCAAGAGTCTGATGCTTAACCGATTGAGCCACCCAGGCGTCCCAAATTAAATAGTATTTGAATGGACCATAGGTCATCGGCTTTGCTTCTGAAGTGATGCAGTCAATGGTTTCTTTTCCCTCACCTACTTGCCCCCAATCAATAGAGCTGATCGCATTGAAGTTTGGTTGGGGATTGCCTATTTCTTGCACAACTGCAGTTGCTTATTTCACTGCAACTTTATCAATAGTGAGCTCCCTGTTTTCACAAGGTTAAACTGTTGCGAATTTGAAAAGTACCAAGAAGAGAAAGAGAGATTCATCTCTGTTACATTTGTGTGAAATTTTATCTTCAAGCTAACTTGGATTCACTCATTTAGGAAGCCAGAACTAGCCTTCCAAACATACCTGATAGGAGAGTTCCTCTGATCCGGATCTATGGCAGAGACCGTGCCTACGAATGATCCATGCGGTCTGCCTTCGAAGACTTCAAATAGGTAATATGGGAGGAGGAAGACAGGAGGCTCATCTTCGTCCTCCACCTGGACCTTAATGAGGGTGCTGGAAGCTTCTACATGGTATTTCAGGAGCTGCTTATCAACGTGGCGGTTTTTAACATTTGCTCTAATACGATAGTCATTCTGGTGCTCAAAATCCACTTTCTACAAAGAAATACAGCGTACACAAGAAGAAATGGCTTCAGTAACCTAAGTCATTACTTAGAAAAAAAAAAAGTTTGGGTTATTAAGTCTCAGTTGCTTTTTAGTTAGGTTTTGCTCTTTAGGTAGTTGGTAGGATCCCTCTGATAGTATCATTTAGTTAGGTTTTAGTTAGGTTTTGCTCTTTGGGTAGTTGGTAGGATCCCTCTGATAGTATCATTAAGCAGCTGCATAGCAAATCCTGCCATGTGTTTTGTTATTTACATCTAATGTTTTGGAATAATAGTTCTATTTTTAATTTAGGATTAAAATTATACTTTTCTGTTCATAAATTTCTTACGGAATTGAGAATTAATTTAAGTCTTTCACAAAAGTTTGTCCTTTAAAAATCTTTAAAAAAATAAAAAAAAATAAAAAAGACTGTTCTTTGAGTAATTTGAGAGTCTGCAGTAACTCTCTCTCATTTCTAAGCTCCTTTGCTCCCTAAATCATAATCACAGGTTCTCATTTCAATTACTTAATAAAGCAATAACTAACTGGCTAAACAAAATGATTTCATGTATTTCTGATTTGAATTTGTATTATGCTGCAAAGTAAATATTGTCCATACAGCTACCTTTTTTAATATCACTATTCCTTCTTGTGTCTCATTATTAGTAATTATGTCAAATGTTTGAGAATCATCTTCAATGCTGTAATCCATTTCTGCATTTTCTCCAATGTCATTATCATATGCCATGATTTTTCCTATAGAAGTCCCAGTGGGTGCAGCTTCAGAGACAGTCAAACGGTAAAAACCTTTAAAAGCAAAATTCAAGAGATATCACACAAATAATAAATGTAAGAAACTCCCGAATATAGCACCTTTTTTTTGTGTGGACTATGAGAAAACCCACACCCATCACTTTCCACCAGTCACTTGTTATTTTTTTTTATATCAATATCTATTGATCGATCTATCGGGCTATCTATACTTTCTTTATTTTTGTAATCTGTATTTTATTTTCCCTAATATCCTACTTGAGCATCTATTATTTTCTCTCAAATATACCCTTGGAAGTCCTATCACCAGCACATATAATTTCCAAATTTCTATCCATATGCATACTTGGTCAATAGTTTTGAATGTATTTTTTATTATATCCTTCAACCATCTGAATTGATAAAAAGAGTTTTCAATTTCACTCAAGCATTCTCTGATATCTAAAGTTATCAGTAAATGTAAGTGTGGATTAAAGTTGGAAAAGCCTAAAACAAATAAGTGAACTCTAAGTGTAATAGTTTGATTTTTACATTCTGAGCCTGAGTGCATTGGCCATAGTGGAAATGAAAACAAACAGACAAAAAAGATAGATCCATGGGAGTCGGTGAGTGGATGTGGTAAGACAACCATGCTGGAGTCACATGACCCTATGGTTTTGGTCATGTGAAAACAATGGCAGTTATATTTGAAATACATAGATATAAATATAAGTAATTGAGCTCTGTTTATTTTTCAGAATTGACTTGCATAAAACTGATAAGGAGTTAGCTATTTGTAAATTATCATTTGTGATTTCTGTTAAAATGTGAGAAATAATCATATATGTCAACATTCTAAAGAATGAAACTTTGTAGAATTTTAAAAAGAGCATGTAATAGAATGTTTCTTTAAAGAGATTCTTGGGGCGCCTGGGTGGCACAGTCGGTTAAGCGTCCGACTTCAGCCAGGTCACGATCTCGCGGTCCGTGAGTTCGAGCCCCGCGTCAGGCTCTGGGCTGGTGGCTCGGAGCCTGGAGCCTGTTTCCGATTCTGTGTCTCCCTCTCTCTCTGCCCCTCCCCCGTTCATGCTCTGTCTCTCTCTGTCCCAAAAATAAATAAAAACGTTGAAAAAAAATTAAAAAAAAAATAAAGAGATTCTTGTCTTTTGGGGATGCCTGAGTGGCTCAGTCGGTTTGGTGTCCGACTTAGGCTCAGGTCATGATCTCACAGGTTGTGAGTTTGAGCCCCACGTTGGGCTCTGTGCTGACAGCTCAGAGCCTGGAGCCTGCTTTGGATTCTGTGTCTGTCTTGTGGTCTGTCCTTCTCTCTCTCCCTCTCAAAAATAAACGTTAAAAAAAATGAAAAAAAAAACAGATTCTTGATTTTTTTAGACGTATAGAGCAAGTCACTTCACAGATTGCCTTGTGAGATTGTCCTTCCCTTTTTATTTTTTTGGCATGGGAGAAATGTGATTTAAAAGGTGTCAATACTTTTACTATTTTCAGGAAGTAACAGCCTAATTGTGCTGCAGTGTTTTTTTTTTCCCCTCCGCTGAGGGAAAATGTATAGTTGAGAAAATATAATTTCAGGAACAGGGAAGAGCAAGCCAAAAGGCCACCAAGCCAGTGACCGAGAGTAGGTCAGTTGCCTGGTGTTGGTTTGTCCACAAGCAAGGGCTAGAGCGCTAACACAAGAGCTCCCAGATGTAATGGAACAAGACTGGATGATGGCAGATTATTTAGGACAATGGAGGTTATATGAAGGCCTCTGACTGTATCTTTGTGACACGGTAAAACGTTTAAGTGCTATGATCTGGTATGCATTTCGACAAGATCACTAAAGTCGTGCTGAGAGTAGAGCAGAGGGGAACAAAGGTAGAAGCAGAGAGGCTAGGTGGGGGCCAGATTAAGAGGGTGGTATGACTGAAGGTTGCAAATGGAAGTTGGTGAGAAATGTTCAGATTATGGATATTTTTAAAAGGTAGAGCCAAAAGGATCTGCAGAGGATTGAGTTTTGGATATGAGAAAGAACAGAAGGGAAGGTGACTTTCAAAATCTTAAAGTAAGTTTCTATTATCAGGAGATATTGTATGTGTGAACATTTGTGTGTGTGTGTGTGTGTGTGTGTGTGTGTGTGTGTGCGCGCGCGCTCACAGAATATTGAAAATCATGCAGGATTGATCATCATTTCACTCTGGGTCAGAAATTAGAATTGACCTAAATTTGACCCAGTGCAATCTGAGTTGGATCAGTTGAATTGAATTGAATTAGAATTGAATGGGTGAGATTTTGCCCTGAGCGATATGAAGGCTGGGGAAAATCTGTAAAAAGAGGGTTAGAGGAGGAGGCAGGTATGACCAGGAAGTCAAATATATGTCCAGTTTAAATGTATATAACTCATAAATCAAGATATTGAGTAGATAGTTGGATATACAAATCTGGGGTTCACAGGAGAGGTTCATACTAAAGTTATATATTTGGGAGTTGTCAGCATAGAAGCAGCATCTAAAGTCAGGTGGCTATAGGGAAACACAAAGGAGTGACTCTGAAGGGAAGAGAAATGAGGCCCTAGGGCTTGGTACCAGAAATACACCAAAGCTTAAAGTATGCAGAGATGAAAAGAAGGCAAAGAAGATTGTTAAAAGTGACTAGGAAGACAGAAGAAAAAGCATATAAGGATAGAGCAACTGCTGTCAAATGCTGCTGAGAAATCAAACTATATTAGGACTGAGAATTGATTGGATTTAGCTGCACATAGATATTGATAGAATTGACCAGATCCATTAGGCTAAGTAGTACGGGTAAAGCCTTGACTGGAGTGGGCTCCAGAGAGTTTAAAAGACAGTAAGTAGGATGATGCATTGGATAACTCTTTAAAACTTATCTTCTCTAAAGGAAAGAAAATGAAGCACGATTAGATGGATACGGCAGTGGAGTCAATAATGTATTTATTTTATTTTATTTTACTTTGTTTTTTAGATGAAAACAACAGCACCCATCGCAGTGTGAATGCTGATAGTAATTAGTGGGCCGAGTGGACGCCCTTGATTGAAAGGTCAGGGAAGATTGGGCATATCAGAGGAGATATGACATAGTTACGTTCAGACGAGGGTAATGGGATTCCAATTACGTAAAGAAGCCTGAACAAGAGTAAGGAGACCAGCATGCTCTGATTTTGGAAGCGTAGTCAACACCCATAGTTTCGCATGAGTATGGTGTGGGAAAGAAATAGAGAAAGCTGTTTAAAGAGTGAGGTAACTTTATGGTACTAGAATCATGTTCACCTACACTCAAATGTGAACGTAGTAATGTTATCACCTTACACGAGGATTCTGGGTATCTACAAAAATTTTAAAAACTATTTCAAATGTTCTAGTTCATTTGGATATATATAAATTATATGTATATATACATTGTTATTTATGTTATGTTTATCAATGTTAATAGAGATTATATATGGTTATATATATATACACATTGTTTTGTATTATATATAGTTATATATTATATATAACACTTATATAATTACATATGCACAACGAAATATATATATATATATATATATATATATATATATA